TCGAGAGGTGGCCATTTCAATCACCCGGCCCGGCAAACGAAACAGCAAAGAGAAGGTTTATTCATCCCCACCCAGCAGTCACAAATGAGTCCGCCGGCCAGTAAAGTGTGGGTGCTCCCAACTCTTACAAGACGTCAGCATGGATGAGTAGGTCAAACACTCTGCAGAGGGGCACTTTCTAGAGACCTTCCTTCTGCCAGCGGTGGCGTGAGCAAAGGAATTCCATGGCTGCACCTTTAGAGATATCAACACAAAGCACGCGGCGAGAGCAAGCTTGCTGAATGCAACAGTCAATGGATGGATTGTCCAGCAACATGCGTTTACATCTGATGCCACGTACAGTACTCGCAATTGTCATCACACGCATTTTTTCAGTGGGCATAAACGCGAAGACATCGCGATATCTGGCCTATTTTATGTTATTTATTTAGACGGGGGCAGACCCGACGAAGTGTATTTACTTGCGTCTCTCGTGAAAAAAAAACGAGTGTACCGATAACTGCTCGCAACCGAACTCAAAAAAAGAGAAAACATTCCTAAAGCCCACGGATGTTTTTTTTTTGCTATCCATGGCAAGACATACAGGCGCATGCATGCCCTCATAAGGATGCTTTTCGGGGCTCTCCGCTGTGCTGCTTTGCATTGCACACGTGCTGATCTCGCCCCTCTCCTCCCCTCCCCCCTCGTACTTTTTTGGCACGTGGGTTGGGAATTCCAACTTAGGATCATTCCTCTGTGGATACAAGGAAGTCAGCAGAAAAGCCAAAAACGGTGACATAATCGTACGCGCATGGCAGTGCCGTGTGTGTGTGTACAGAGCGCCGTGTGTGTCGCCCCTTATCCTCCCACGTGACGGTAGCCCTTTCACAAGGGGACCGCAGAGGGCCGCGCATTGTTTGGAAAACGTCTGTTTCCCCTCCTTTTGTTGCTGTTGTTGTTGTACAAGAAAGAACTTGCCATTGTTCTAGGAAGCTGGCCGCAAGCAGTGTTCACGGGCCCCCACATCAGGGCCTGAGCCGGTGGGCGGACTGATTTTGGACAACGGAAATGTGGGCAGCTCAGTCGCTCCGATCGTCGTCTTTCCACGAGTCGACCCCGGGCCACCCTTCAAGTTGAAATCCGCGAGAAGTCGCACGTGGTGAATAATGAGGTATCTCAAGAAGGCTATAAAGTATCACGACCCAAAATGTGCGACGCATCCTACAAATACCGTACGTGTATAGTTACCGTTAAAGGACGCAATTCTCAATCTGCAAATACGGAGACGTCGTAGCGATACACTCCGCTAACTCCTGACACGGTTATCTGGCTCGACCGCCTGAATGTGAAATTGTAGTTGTTGCTGTCCACCTACATCAGCCGTACGACAGGAAGACGACATCGCTGTGAGGAATGACCGGTGGACAAGGCTGGTGGTGGAATAGAGGTCAAGAGAGAGGATGGGGCGTGAATTCGACCGACGCGGAGTTGGAGCAATGAGTTTGTGTGCATTTTGGACAGATTGATGGCTGACAATGATCTCAGAGCTGTTACAGGTGACTATAGATAAATAAATATCTAGACAGTAATATGAAGTGTAAGTCTGGATAGGCAACTGAAGTATACCATTTAGCCAGGCCTAAATCAACGTTTTGGAAACTCCAGTTCTCAAGACCTCCCACGGCGCAGCCTTCGACAATTGCAGATCTGTAAAAAAACATGTGCAAGGAAATCACGCAGCTACTACAGGACGCACACGTGAGGGTTGGTAATTACGGATAAAAGAAAAAAAGCTGCACACAGGTAGTGGAGTTTGAAACCCACTGCCCTACATCTTGCCAGAACGGTTACATCGACGCGCGGACTTGTGCTTCGTGGGCGAGCTGCCGTGCTGTGATGGTTCGCACGCGACTGAGACTTGCAATCCGGAGTTCGCCGACGAATTTCCAATTTCCATCTCCCAGTACAGCGGTTGAAATGGCGGTGCAAGTTGATCAAATTCCCCTCCCAGCACGCCCCCGTCCGCCCAGCATTACAGGCGGGTAGAAAAGTTAAGTCGATGGGCATTTTGCGTGGTGGTGGGGTGAGCTGTGGGTACGCCCACATCTTCGAACACATCTGGGCTCAACGTGGAAGCATAGGCCAAGTACTCTCAAGTATTCGCTCTCTCGTGCAGTGGTTTCTCTTGAAATTTTGTTTCAACCGAGTAGCCCTTGCAGACCCAACATGGCTTTCTGAGCAATAAATGTTACGAATAACGAGCATCGATATTTTAACTAATTGCCCATTTTGTGAGGCATCCTAGCTAGCTCGTAACCGCAAGCGAATAAAGCAAATTCGACGGACGCTCTTGCATGTATGACGCGATTTGTTCGCGCTCACTGGCTACTCGAGTAAACCGCATTGTTTGTGATCAATAAAGTTTAGAATGTTACATCGTTCTCGGTTACCATACGGACAGAAAAAGTATCGTAGTTATCTTCTTTGGTTTTTTCGGTAAAGTCACGTAGAATGAGAATAAAATAATAAATTGATAAAATAAAATAACACAATAAAATTCTCACGACGTTTCGGCCACAACACAAGCGGCCTTCATCACAACACAAGCGGCCTTCATCACCTGATGAAGGCCGCTTGTGTTGTGGCCGAAACGTCGTGAGAATTTTATTGTGTTATTTTATTTTATCAATTTATTATTTTATTCTCATTCTACGTGACTTTACCGAAAGAACCAAAGAAGATGAATCCTTGCAGTCACGAAAGCTTTAAATCGAAATATCGTAGTTATTTTATATTAGCAGATTCACACGTGATTATTCTCGGTTACCATACGGACAGAAAAAGTATCGTAGTTATTTTATATTAGCAGATTCACACGTGATTATTCACCAATGACCCTCATGTATGATATAATTTCACATGTATAATCAGATGCCCCTCGTTTGAGAGCCATTCCTCTGTAGGAGGCCCTTCACACCAGCAGCGGTGCAAGTGAGCAGTTAGGGCTGCGCCTTAACCTTTTAACCCCTCGAAAGTTAATCGTTTATTCACCCCAGGGATAGTAAATTATTTACTAACAAAATGCGGAGAGATTCATTGAGTAGATGGAGAATCTCAAGCGTTATGCACCCTTTCTCATCCCGAATTAGTTTGCAATTGTAACAACAGTTGGGAAAAAAATACCAGTGGCAACATTTCTCTCACGCAAATATTTGCAACGATTGAGTTCGCGTATTCACTCCACAATCCATGGTATGCATCATATACATTGGCACTGTTGAACTGAGAAGCCTTGTCAATTGAACAAAAAAAATGTAAACGATCCTATGAATGAGCCTTCTTCAGAGATTAGCTGCATTCGCACTTGTCAACAGTGCCTTGGAAAATGTATTTTCTTTTTCATAGTTGCATGCAGCATCGACAGTCTAAAATTAGGCGTGTTATCTCGAATAACCAATATTATGCCACTGTCAAAAATCATGTCATTTTAAGGACTAAGTCGTGCACCTGCCGTTATAAAAACCGTGTGTATAGCGGTCTGCGAGAACTCATCTCCCGCAACACAAAACTGCTTTGATGCCTCATGTTTATATTGAGTTTATTCTGAATATTCCCCCCCCCCTCCTCACTAAATATTAACGTGTTTTAGTTTTACCAAGGAAGGTCAACGTGGGCAGACTTCATCAGCACTTTATTTGTTCACCAAATACAGTGCTTAAACTCAAATGCAAAAAAACATTGCAAGTTATTGTTACTTAAGGCATATATTATCACACACACACACACCTAAAAACCAGCTTTGAATATGTAAAAAAAAAGCGACCGTTTCTTTTACATTTATTGAAAAATAATTAATTGGAACTAATATAAAGGCATCACTACAGTAGTCTGACAACATAAATAATTACAAGTACAATAAAAACATTACAAAGCTAAAAATACTTTTTTTTTATACAAGTGTAGGCATTTGTCCACTTTTCAAAACATCAATAATATAAATTAACTGGTTACAGGGCTATCACGGAACCTTAAACTTCACATTTACTGACACCAAATCATTTGTGCTAACTACAAGCACTAAGGTGCTAACTTCATTAGCATGCACGAAACACCACTTCGGCCCAAACGCCAAACACGTATCGTCATTACATGTGACGAGCGTTCTTCCGCGCACAGCGATGACTTGAAGAACAGCACGCATTATATCACAACAGATGTCGTCCCGTCACAGTTGAACATAAAGCTGTCATCGGCGTTCTGTTGTTGTCTCCTAACCCAACATTAAAGTAGCACATCAAAGTGGCAGTTGTGTGGAATAAATAAAAAAAACATCCACAATATATTTTAACAGTATCAATAAGACCACTAATAAAACAAGATACCCTGCCGATTTGGTGGTTTTTGCCCAACGAGCGAGAAGATTTATGCGATTTGAGAAACTTAAATCGCGGGTGAAATTTAAAGAATAATTACGTGCGGGCTACGGTTTGTCACTTAGGGGCCGTCCATAAATGACGTCACGCGATTTTGGACGATTCTTGACCCCCCCCCTCGTCACACGGCGTCACAAAAAGTCAGATCCCCCCTCAAATATGACGTCACAAAGCTCTGCCCCCCCCCCCAAAAAAAACATATTTCCATTTTGAAAATAAAACATGCTTCAAATGGCTTTAAACTATTGTCATTGTAGTGCGTATTTAATGTGGCGCTGCACCCTGATGTTGTAGGAGTGTTTTTATAACAATTAGTGTTATAGCAATTCTATATTTATTTCAAGTTGCGCATTTTGATGTGACGTCACATTTCTCAAACCCCCCCCCCCCCCCTTGTCACACATAGTCACAAATGTCTGACCCCCCCCCCCCGGTGCGTGACGTCATTATGGACGGCCCCTTATTACAAATTTCGTGATTTCGTTTTGGACTTTTATAACCAAAACTCAAAACGTAACTAACAAATGAGTGGATTGTGCTAACAGAGGTACAAACAGCCGATTTAGAATGAATAATAATTACGTGTTTAAATTAATATTTCTCCGTTTAAGTTTACATGCATAATTTAAATGTTTCATCAAATTTCGCAAATAAATGATATGGCTGCATTTCAATATGCTAGATACGAATTCCTGTGTCTGAGAAAAAGCAAGAAAGAACTTGCATACGAACTTGAAAATTGGCACTAATCTTTTTATTTCCCTAACATTAATTGTTGCTATTAAAATTCTCATACGCGTTTTCACCTAAGCTGTGGGATCATTGCCATCTTCAGAATTCTCTGCTTCAAGTTGACCCCGTTCCGATTCTGCATCAGAATCATTTTCTTTTTCCTCCAGCTCCTCCACTTTGTCCAGGTCCCCGGTGTCATCCGCATCGTTTGCAAGATCATTGCCACCATCTGGCTCACATATTTCCGTGTCCCCAATCGGAGACTCGTCGTTGGCCACATCTGTATTAAATTCGACTTCTTCTGCAGGGTCATCGAATGTTTGTTCATCGTCTGGCATTGAGGCAATGCATTCTGCATCATCTGGTGCTGGATTCTCTGCTTTGTCGTGAGCTATCAGCTCATTATTGCTCTCCTGTTTGTCTGCTGAGCTGTAATCATCATCATCATCATCAGAATGGGTATTTTTGTCTAGATAGACATTGATCGAGATTCCACTTGGATCCTCCTCCTCCTCTTCATCATCATCAGATAAATCTCTGAAATCTTTGTCTTCACCACCCAGATTATCATCAACGTCCGGCGTGTCCTCTTGGTCATTCTCTAACGTCATATTCGTTGATGTTTCTTCAGTACCACGGGTGGCAGCCTCATTTTCTGTTGCTTCCGATGCGCCGTTCTCGGTGCCTTCTGGATGTTCCGACTCGGCTGCTGTTTCCCCAGTTTCTTGCGGACGGGACTGCGAGCAACGCCCACCGCCCTCCAGTTCACCTTGAATGTCTGCGTGTTCTCCTTCCTGTTTTCCACCTGCATCAGCTGAAGGTTTCATACACGAAGCGTTTGCCGGACCGGACTTGGGTTTCTTGCTCGATGCCAAGGGGGACGGGGAGGATGAATCTCGCGGCAGCCACCGGGGTTGGAATGCCCGGGTTGTGGATTTTTGAGAACGCCGAGCAGCTGCAGACTCGCGGGACTGTTGCACATAAAAAAAAAAAACGCAGGGAGAATAAAAAACACAACAGTCACAATAACAGTCGCATAAATTAATGCTTTGACCGCATTGGGTACTTTGTTGGGAGGTTCAGAAAATGAGTGAACGAAGAGAATTGAAAGCGATTCAAGAATTGCAATTGGAAAAGTGCAAACATCAAATAGGACATTGTTTCATCGAGAAAAGCAGACTTACAGCAGTCTAAAGTTGGCATGCTAGGAGCTCCAAGGGGCTGTTAATACAACAGGGTGCTTCTGGATACATGTCCAGCAAGATGTGGTAAAAGAGCAGAAATTAGTGTTAGTAAGTAAAGATGTTAAAACAGGTAGTTTGAGTAAGTAAACTGCATGCAGCCTTCACAAACCACAGCACAATTCACTGAGAAAAACAGCTTCCGTAACCGTCATGTTAAACAAAACATTGTAAATAACGCATGGCCGAAGGAGGCAAAAATGATGGTGCTATGCTAGGATCGGAGAAAAGCAGAGTATTCATTACCGACGGCGATTCGGGAGTATTCCCCGTAGGTTTGTCTGTGTTGTTCTCTCCTGCATCGTCTTGGTCGCATGATTTCGCTGCTGCAGGCTCACTGCTCGACTGACCAAGGGCTTCTCTCCCTCTCGGAGGGGCAGTCACCGGCACCTCTTTCTTCGGAGACCCAAAACAGCTTTTGACAGCCGCAGCACAGATCCTCTGTTCGCGATTGGAGTTAGGACTCAGTGACCTGTCTCGAGCATTTTTCAGGATCTCTTGGATGAGCCCGTAGTTTGACCGCGACATGTCGACCGATCGCGACCGCACTGGCTCCTTCCCGCCGGGCTTTGGCCCTGCCTTGCCGGGCACCTCCGTGGAGTGATCGATAAACGTGAAGAGGCTCGAGAGGCCGTGATTGGAGGTGGTGTGCACGGGGCTGTCCCGCGTGGTCGTGGAGCGAGCCCAGGCCGACTCGCTCTGCCCTTTCAGCGAGTCGAGCCGCGACAGCGGCGAGTCTCGGCCGTAGCGAGCCTGCTCGGCACGGCTCGCGGGGGCCTTCCGCGGAAATCTCGGCGAGCTGAACTTCGAGCAGCAGTTGCGCTCAAAGCGGGCGTCCATCTTGTCGAGCGGCGACGCCGCCGCCGCCGCCGCCGCAGCCGCGGAGCCTTTGCCGCGCGCGCCGAGGGACGAGCGTGGCGAGCCGAGGACGGCCTGCGAGGTGGCGCGCTGCAGCACGGCCGCCCGGTGGGACGACAGGCCCCGCACGTACTCGGTCTGCGCGCACACGTTCACCATGGTGCGCACGGTCTGCGTGCCGGTGGTGGAAGCGGAGGCCGTCTGGCTGGCGGTGTCCCGCGTTGGACGGCCGCCGCCGCCGCCGCCGTCGTCTTCGTCTTCGTCGTCGTCCCCGCCGCCCCCGTGCGCGCCCGTCCGCGTGCCGAACGCCGCCTCCTTCATGTCGTCGCTCATGTTGCGCGACGCCTCCGTTTCGGCCGCCGAGGACGTCTGTATGTCCGACGCGATGCCGCTCTCGGAGGAGTCGCTCCGACGGCCGAGAAGCTCGGACGACCAGCGCGAGTCGGCCGCTCGCCTCCTGTGCGGGGACAGGAACGAATATCCGCCGTCGCCGGCGTCGCCTTCCGGCTGCGCCGCGTCGGATCCCCTGGGCGACCGACGCCCGTAGTACCCCTCCCCGTCTCTCTCGGCTTCTTCTGTGCCGAAGCCCATGATCTCCTGAGCCTGGAGCTCCGCGTCTGCGAGGACGCGGCCGCTCACGTCGTCGCCGGTGGTGAGGTACCAGGAGGAGTGCCCTTCACTCTCGGCGGGGCCATCCTGCAGCAAAGCCTGCTCGCTCTCCCGCCCGTCGCTCGACCAGCGGTCGTGGGTGGCGTCGTTGACCCTCCGCCTGGCTGCAAACTCTTCGATGTATTTCAGGTCGTCTGGCGAGAGTGGGTGCGAGACCCCGTCGATCTTAATGAACAGCGGATCGCTGTTGGTCGGGGAGCTCTTTTCCGGAAGGTATGGCACATTGTCCATTTGGGCATCGAAGTCATTGATGGAGGAACTTGACCTTGCCCTAGAAAGACACGAGCGAGTCTTTAATTAAAGTCACATCAATTAGTCCACAACAATTTTTGCTTCTCATTGTATATCGGTATTCATGAATCTGAATTTCATGTTATACTTTAAATATGTACAGCAGCATTTTAATGAAAATTATTCGCTGCTGTTTGATCCGTCCAACACACCTGCGTAAACCTGTTTTACCATCAGTGTCTTCTCCCGGCTCCTCGCTGTTTGTTCTACGGAATAGTTTCACCTGAATGTGGAAAAGAGCAAGAAAGCACAACAACACTCATGTATATTGTGAATACATTCGATTTTATTGCAAGTGAAATGTTCAGCGGTGCAGAACGGAAAGTCACAATTGGTTATTTCAAATGGTACAAGCAAACAAATCAATGTTGGTTGAGTTTGGAGTGGTGGTGCACTGTGCTATATGAAGCCAGTGACCTGAGTTCAACTTCCTGCCATGGCTAATATCAGTGGCGAGTGCTGTGCCAACCGGTCCTGGGCCCCAACATTACTTCGCACTGACCAGTGTGGTGAAGTATGGTTAAATAACCACATGATTTGACACAGCCTTCATCCATCAGTGGATTGACAAGAGCTGAAAATAATCAATTGTGTATTTTTTTGTTAAAAAAAGGAAAACTTACAATTTACAACTTTATTTGATTTATTATTGCCCACAATGTCTCAGTTCAACAATATGAGCTTAATTAAGAGCTTAATTACAGTCATAATTTCACTTTCATTATGAAACTCTGTCATTCTTCATTTTACATTATGCCCACAGCAGGTGTGGGCAGTGCATTTAATGTGTTTTTAATGGAAAACAATATTTAATTAGAGTGGATAAATGCCACCTTCTAATGTGCAACGCCTGGGCAAGCTATGTTTGCTCATTACAGTGGGATTGAGTTATTCTGCATTGTGTTACCTCATTCTGTCCCAGCATTGGGGCCTTGTGTAGTGCCTCCCGGTTTGGCGAGTCCAGGCTGAGTGCGTCCAGAACCAGGGATTCGAATGCACGTGGCCGAATGTCCTTCAGCATTTGGGAGTCAGGGCCACAGCGCAGGATGGAGATGATCTTTCCTTGCTCGCTTCGGAGTCCCGATGAAACTCCGGGAAGGTGCTGAGCCAGCCCACTGGCTGCATGCGATGGCTTCTCTTTCTGTAGCTAAGGGATTGAAACACAATTATCAATGCTACTTACCACCAGAGACGTCAAGGTCAAGAGATCATCGTGTGCCAATGAGGTTCGTAGCACCACACCTTTGGCCAGCATTTCCTTCCACTGTATTGTGTAGCTATTGTAAACTTGACAGCTGGCCTTCAAGGTCTGCTCTTAGTGTATCACATGATCTGGCTACAGATCTTCCTCTTGGTCATCTTGTCTCTGGGCCTCTCACACCAATGCCTGTCTTAGTAACCAGCCCTCCTTCATCCTACACTCATCCCCACCCATCATGTACTATTAGATATAATCAATTTATTAAAAAAAAAGTGTGTAAAATATACCATAGGGCCCATTTTGGTGATGTTCATCATAACTAAGCACGTTTGAAATATAAACTATAATACGTGTCGACTTGTAATCCATACAGGTTTACATGTATATAGTAATTATTCTAAAGACAATTGATAATTCGCACACGTTTCGCGAATCAGATGTGAATGTTCGATCAAGAACTCGGAGGCGCAGAGTCAGAGCTGAACGTTTTTCGTACGGAAGCCTGAACAGGTGAGAGCCTGAACAGGTGAGAGCCTGAACAGGTGAGAGCCTGAACAGGTGAGAGCCTGAACAGGTGGGAGCCTGAACAGGTGAGAGCCTGAACAGGTGAGAGCCTGAACAGGTGAGAGCCTGAACAGGTGAGAGCTCAAGGCTCTCACTTGTTTAGGTGGATACTAATTGGATGCGGAAAATATTCAGTGTTGTTTCAGTATGCCCTAAATGGAACTGTAAAAATGTTCGAAGTTGTTCATGCTATTCTGATTTGAAAGTGTTTGTATAATTCCACCACTACCCTACCACTACGGGATTGCCGTGCTTCTGTGGATGAATGGCGTTGTGGCTAGAGGGCATTCGATTTCACACTCCCAATTTATGTACGGTTGCAATGACTGTATCCTGTTACCATCGGCCGAGGTGGCTTAGTAAATGAGCAAAGTCTGCGCAATCACAGGACACTCATCAACAGTGGGAAAAATACAGCAGAACAAAATCGCTAATTACGTAAACATTAAAGGATTAAGCTATGAAGCAATAGTTCTTGCTTTCCGTTGGTCTCACCAATCTGCAGCCTATTCATTGATAGAGGTGCATTTTCTCATTGCTGAAGAACAATAAATCAATGTTTGGCATTTTACTTTTTTTCTCCTTTGCGAGTCGACCACAGGAGCTCAACAGCAGCTGCGAACACGATCTATACCCCTCCCCCATCGCTTGCGAGCTCCACCACCACCCACCCCCTCCACTGCAGCCATCAGCCAGACCAAGGGTTGCCGCGATATCATTTTTCACGATACGCTGTGACATATACGTTTTCAAAATGTAACGATTATCGAAAAATCGTATCTTGCCGTATCTTTGTAACTGTTCTCATAATATTGTTTTGAGCATTGCTATGCTTGCAATATGAATACTTATTAATTGCATTATTAAATTACGGTACCGTGAAAGACTGCCATGCATCTTCGAATCATTGTCAACTTACATATAGTAAGTATTTTAAAATGCCTGTGCTGTGCGTTACAAAATAATTAATTGAACAAATAAACTAAGGGAAATGTTTTGTTGGTTGCAAAGATTTGTGGCTCGTGATCCATAGCCGCCCTGGTTAACACCGCGGGTATAGCAACCATAGATATGCGCCGTCTGCTTCACCGTGGACAATTCGGATCCTATTTGGAGAAGAGCAGGCCACGTGTGCCAGTGTAATGGTCCCAATTCGCCAAGATTAAAGAACTGCCCAGAAACTACTTCATCGGGAGAACGCTTTCAAATGTGCTTCTGCGGCCGTCTGGAATGCTCTAACTTCCAATATTGAGCAGCCACTGGAGCTACGCACTTTTAAATTTTGTGTTTAGTTTGTTGTCCTTCGATTACCACGGTTGGCTATATGTGAAAAAAGTCAAAAATACATACATACGTAGATAACACAAATAATGATATTCCGAGATCAGGATACATACAAATACTTCACCACGATGGTCAGTGCGGGTTTGTCAAGGTGCACTCTACTGCACACAACGCCCACTCCACCAGTCTTGTATGCATGGTGCTCACACGTCCGAGTGCTACACACACAGCGATAAACCTACCACTAGCCTACGGCCACGAAACACGGCACCTTTGCGAGAGCCTCTCGCGCTGTAAGACTTGGCGAGGAACACACCGAATGTACCAACTAAACGGTTGTGGTTAAACATTGCACGGGCGGCTGGGGCGCGCGGCTGGGGCGGCTGGGGCGGGCGGGCGGGCGGGCGGGCTGACCTGGTGGACCTTGTGCCGCATGAGGCGGAGCTGCTGCTCCCAATCCTTGCGCTCGTGGTCGAACCGCTGCAGCAGCTCCGTGCGCTCGCGGCCCCAGCCGCGCTCGCCGGCGTGAAGCTGGCGCCGCAGCTCCATCGTGCGGCCGTGCATGTCGGCCAGCAGCGCCTTCTGCTGCTCCGCCAGCTGCTCCGGCAGCGGAGGCTCCTCGCCCGACGACGAGATGTCTGCCTGCAGCTGCGCCCGGGGCAGGCGACCGGACGCGTCCCGTGCAAAGGTTATCGCTTAGGATGGCCGGTGCCCAGCGCGAGCAAGCAAGCAAGCAGACGCATCGCAAGTTAGGTTATTAGTTTGGCTCCGGCTGCCCAATGGGTTTCAGTAGAGGATTGATGTTATACTACCGCAGAGCACTGGAATGGTTGAGATGAGGTGCGACGTAAGGTGCTTTGAATCGCTGAGGCAATTGATATTTTAAATCCATATTTTTGGCAACTAGTCATTTATTTTTTTGTATAAATATGCTTTCTCCATTTCAAAGTTTTAAAACTCCACTCGTGATATGGGCATCATGTCATTCGATCAGAACTCTTGCAGAGCACTGCATACCCCATGTGCTGGAGAACACGCGTGGTTTGCAGCACATAGCACTGCTCATAGCGTGTGCACCAAGTAATATCACAACTAATGAGGTCTCGTCAAGGTACATCCACATTATGGGCTGCACCCTCTGCTAATGAGAAACATTTCCATAACATAGCAGTGCAACCGTTTTGTTTAATTCTCCGAGGCGGCAAGTCAGCCAAATTAAGTGAAAAGACAAATTGTGCGTGACGTGCGTGCGTGTGTCGGTTCCTTTGCTGTTCAGTTATTGGTGAACCGCGTTGAGACAATCGGCTTGATGAATTACGGAACCCGGTTGAATCATGAGTGGATGCCCAAGATTCAAACTCAGTATCACAGCGGTGATGTCTCAGTGCTTTGAGCCCTGAGCCACCCGGATTTTGGCTGCTGGCCATTGAACAAAGACGCCCACTGCGTCGCGCGCTTTCAGATGCGCTTCTGCGGCCGTCTGGAACGCTCTTCCTTCCGATATTAGGAGAGCCACTGAAGCGATGCACTTTTAAGTTTAGATTAAAAACGAATTTCTTGATAACTTTTTGTGTGTGTATAGTTTGTTGTCCTTCCCCCGCACCTCCAATTCAGATGTTTGACTGCGTAAGGTGCAAAAGAAGTTCAATGCACATACAAGAAAACAACAGTTTTAATTCATGAGATTCCAGGCCACTGTCCTGTTCGTTAGTATGCTTTTGAGCACACATAACACTTGTTCTGATTGCGAAACACAAATCTCACATACTTGATACTCGTCACCGGCTTTACGGCACGTAGGGGGTCTCTTTTAAAACGCCTCTCAGATTGGTTCAAATTTTCATTAACATGCTTGGGTTTTTTTTTTTGGCCACAAAAAGTGAGAGACACAACAGATGTGGTGAGTTTGATGCTGTCCAGCTAGAGGTCGGGATGTCACTGCTGTGATCCCTATCTCGACAACATCTGTCTCCACCTCCTCATCCCCTAGCTCCTTTACTGTTCCCATCACATGACTGACATCTCATTCTGTTTTTCTTCATTATTTAAAAAAAATGTTTTAGTCGTTTCCCATTTGTTTGGCTTTTAGTTAGAATGGTCCCCCCTTACTTTACTCGTGCTGGATTTTTTTTACTTTACTTTACTTTAAAAGTTGTTTACTGAATAATGTGGCACATTTTTGGCAGGGTCCAATGAAAGTAACATTTTTAATCCACATTTTACGTCAATTCCAGGTTTAATCATTCACACCCCTACTGCAGTGATTCAACGCATTGTCATAATTCAGGGTGACAATTTGATTTGAGGATATATCATTGTTTTGTTTTTACATTGTGGCTATTCTAGCCGCCTCTATGTATGTATGCTGAACTTCTTTTGCACCGTAATGTAGCCAAACGTGCAAATCGGATGTGCAGGGGAGGGACACCAAACTAAACAGTGGCTGCTGGGGCCACACAGACGCATTACATACAGCATAAATGGATCGAGAAATGTTGATTCTTACACATGCAATTTGATGTGTAGTGTGAGGTTCAGAAATTATATTTGTGAGTCAATATGTCATTTTGCATTGTACAAATGGATCATCAGTGGTGTGTGTATATATATTGGCAGACAGCACGGTTTCCTGCAGTTTGGGTAAAGCATACCTTTCTAACGGACTTCATACTGTAGAAGCATTCCACAAATCCTGCCACTGCAGCCGTTCTGTGACCAATCGAGCAATCACTCCTGGTGGTTCGCACATCTGCGGCAGGGGATGCGTGTACAGTGCCCACTCTCGGGTCTTTTTTTTAAAGTCCTTTGTGCAGCTGTGGAGCTTATTTTAAAGTCGGCACCGATAATTTGATAACGCATCCAAACTATTACTGGGAATGCAATCGAATTGCCGTATATTTCATCACCGCTCATGAGCATATGAGGAGTTTATCCACTTAGAGAGGGTTTTTTTGTTTGTTTAATTTAATAAAAATGTAACTGCAATATATTATGTGTAATGCTAATACTGAAAGCCCTGCGGATGAATAATTCTGAATTCGCTTGAAAAGATATGCATCATATACTGTATATATACAAATGTATAAAGTAATCAGATTAAGAGATCAGAATTCCTATCATTTATATTGCAACGCGACCTTTATAATACTTATCCTGATATAGCAGCAAAAAATGGAGCAGATAAACTAATTTAATGACGTTTGCCCTGAAATGTTTGGCCAAATTCTACCAAGTGAAAAAACTAATAAAATAACGCCTAATATTTTCCATGTAATATTTTCGTGAAAGACTTGAAATCATATTGCATGCATGCCAACATCATTCCAAATGAAAACCAATACGAATCACAATACTTATGTAATGTGGCAATTAGTTATTCTTGTCATGTATTAATTATATAATTGTAATGTGCCAACATTGCATTTGGCAGCACGTAGCAAAGGCAATCGGGCTATACCACAATGTGAAATTGTTTAAGTAACAGACCCCACCCATTATTGTGTGTCCCGAGTGATGTGTTGTGTGTTGGGTCCGGTGTAGGGTTGTCACCTCTTAGGTAACGCGAGAGGTAAGAATATGTAACGATACCATGAGAGGGGGAGAACGGCATGCAAACGCATCGTCTTTGGGGTCGGCAGTCGGCAAACCAAAATAAAAGGGAAGGCGACATTTTTGTTTCAAATTCGGTACAAAAACAAATATTCCAAGAGCCGCAATGCATGTGCTTGAGTACACACGCACGCGCACATTACGTCACAACGCAGCCGCAATGCATGTGCTTGCGTACACACGCACGCGCACATCACGTCACAACGCAGCCCCAATGCATGTGCTTGCGTACACACGCACGCACACATCACGTCACAACGCAGCCGCAATGCATGTGCTTGAGTACACACGCACGTGCACATCACGTCACAACGCAGCCGCAATGCATGTGCTTGAGTACACACGCACGCACACATCACGTCACAACGCAGCCCCAATGCATGTGCTTGCGTACACACGCACGCACACATCACGTCACAACGCAGCCGCAATGCATGGGCTTGCGTACACACGCACGCGCACATTACGTCACAAAGCAGCCCGTAAAGAGCCACACGCGGCTCCGGAGCCGCAGGATTCCGACCCCACCCCTGTCTTGGGTGGCGTATTTATTATTTATTACGCCACCGCTGCCGAGAGCCAGATCTGTTCACCGTCCCGTGAAGACGTACCGATTTCCTCGGACTGCCACGCCGATTTAACAGGACAAACCAAGAGAGGTTTTAGCCAAAAGCCGAGCCTGGTGTAGAGTCGGGCACCTGAGACAGGACGAATTTGAACTGCGCGCGCTCCATCTCCCAGGTGGCCTTCTCGGTGGCGAACTCTCGCTGCAGCTCGGAGCGGCTGCGCTCCTCCTCGCGGAACTCCGACTGCAGGTCCTCGAGCACCGAGCGCAGCTCCAGGAGCACACGACGGCTCTCCCGGCCCTGCTTGAACGACCACGTCACGAGAAACAGGAGCCGTCGGGCAGAGCTACACGGGCAGGGCTGCCCAGGGGATTCTGGATGCCTGGGGGCAGAATTCGACTGGGGCCCCCCCTTTCTCACCTCGCCCCACCGCGTTATTTCGTCAGTAGCAAAAGACGCAGGCCCCATTGTGTGGGGCCCCTTATGTGGAAGGCCCATTTTGTAACCCCCCCCCTCCATCCACCACCCGCCCCCCCCTCTCTTCCCCTCTGGGTACCGCTGACAACAGGTACCCAGGATCATAGCACTTCCGAATAGTTAGGTACGGTGGGAAAGACATTCAACATACATACATAGGCTTTCCACTAGGATTGCCACCGGTCCTCGTTTTTTTCCTTTTTCCCATGATCAACCTTTCATTTGCGGAAGCTGACATGGGAAAAATGCAAGTCTTCTCATCACACTGAAAGTGCAGTTTTTATTTCTCTCTCAGTGATGCAATAATAATAATACTAACACAACTCACAACAATATATTTACATTTAATTATCTCCTTATCTGGTATTGAAATATTCTTCTTCTGATATTTACTTGTGTTTTGTACCTCAGATGGCAACCCTGCCTGTCCATCTCGCTTTTCTTAACACGTTAAAAGGGTCTAGAAACGTATGCGTATGGATAAACTGGCGTTTCACTTAAGAGGTGGGGATGATACTGTGAGAGTAGACCTTGAAGTTACGGTGCCAACTAAGAGATCTGGCTGAAGGATGTAATTGACAGCAAGGTGTGGTGGTGTCATCAACGGCATTGGCTATGATGACCTAGTGACTTTGGCGCCAATTAAAAAACGCATGGGGCATTTGCGTTTAACATCTAGCGCGTAGGTGCATGTGCACACTGCTTTATATAAAAATGCGTGCAATATGTGAATATTACACAACGAAAAATACACAGCAATCGTCATTATGAATGTAATATGTTGTGTTACAAACAGTTTACAATTATGATTTATTTATATTTCTAATTGTGTAGGCATCATTATCCTCGTGTTGCTATCTGTGGTATGAGCAATAATTTAGTTTTTTGTCGTTTACAATTTTCCAATTAATCTTAAGTCTCATGCTTGGCGAAAGGTTTTGTCCCGAGTGGCTCACGAGTGATCACTTTGACGGACGCTTGACATTCCCACATTCACATGGGAAATGCGTCCAGTGAATTTAAAAGCCACTGCACCGACCTGTTCCCATTTGCCCAGACATTCCATGGCGGTGAGGCTGTCTCTCTTCTCAGCCAAGCCTTCCAGCAAGGAGTGCACTCCGCTGTCCTCTGTGCTCTCTGATGTGTTTGATGCCTCTGACAGGTCCTCCAGAAGATCCTTCTCGACCAGAACCAGACTGAGATCTGCAGCTCCATCCAGCTGCAGCACACACATACAATCACACAATGGGATGGACCCGTGTTTCAACCCGCACTGCATGCTGTGTTTTGACAACCACTGGAAACCAGGCGTCGCTGGCCCCAGGAATGGCCTAGAAACAGCAATAGGACCCTGGCCCGGGTCCCCAATAGGCTTGCAACCGTCTTACTTTTCCCAGGATTGTTTTCTTCTTTTTGAGGTAGCTGTCCAGGGAAGTCTGCGAGTCTTCCCAGGTTACTGAAAGTCCCCGTATTTGCAAGTTACGTGATAAAACACCAACAAAAACGGTGGATTTACATGCAGTCCCTTTCTTCTTTCAGCATTGTGAAATATATTTCTTCCAATGCAATGTACAGGTTTATTTGTACTTCAGGGAAGGCCACCCTTGTCGCCACACTCGATGAGCAATCTGGCTTCATGGGCACGGCAAAAACAATGCCGGAGTAAAAACAAATGTGAAGCAGGGGACAAAAGAGGGTCCCCGTAAAGAAACAAATAACTCAAACTAATTTTTAACAATTTGTATTTTACCAGGTAAGGCGCACCGAGCAATAGATATTTTTCAGAAGTGACCTGCCAAAAATGATAGCCCAAAAAAAAAAGTGGCTTATCACGTGTAAGATTATAACGGCCAAATACTCTCAACGCACGTTTCTAAAAGTGGAGGGAAAAAACAGGAGAACCCGGAGAAAAATCCACGCGGCCACGGGGAGAACACGCAAACTACAAATATACAAGCGACCTCCTGTAAACCGGGCGAGGTAGTTAACGTCTCGCCACCGCGGCCGTAAACTCACGTCGAGGAAGGCCTCGTCCCCGAGCCCCAGGTCCTTGCGGCCCTGCCTCCAGTGCCGCACGACGGCCCGCAGCCGAGCGCACACGAGTGCCAGGCCCTGGCGGAGGCAGCGCACCTCCTGCACAAGCGATCCGCGAGCCCTCGCCAGTTCGCGGCGCTCCAGCTTCTGCTGCAGCCGCACGCTCTGCAGCTCAAAGTCCCGCCGGAGCGCCAGCTTCCGTTGCTCTGCCTTGAGCTTTCGTACAAGATTCGGGAAAGAAGGGCAGCCGTGTCAGGTGGCACTGCCCTGCGATTGCACGAACAACTGTGTCAATGACGGAGATGAGGTTTAGACGTTTGTCATCACTGTTTGATTTCTCCCATACCGCCTTTGAAATGGAAGCCTTCGGGATCCTTTAAATGTCTTATAAAGAGCACGCAATGAACAAGGGAGTCTTGGAAAAATCTAACGGGCTAAAAAAATCAAGGCGACTAAGTCACGTCAAAAAATAGGAAACACTCATGTTTTAAACACATAACCAGGATGAATGGTGACTGGCTGCAAATGACGGTGATGAAGAACACACTGGGCGGTGTTAGGGAGCGAGGAAGCCCGTGACATCAAACATCAAACAAGGGATGGGATAGAAGAAGCTGTCTCAGTTGAAAGACGGAGTGACGGACAGAGAGAGGGCGGAGAGACCACTGCAATGAGACATCAATTGAAGGAAACAGTCATGCCCCAATGGGCCCAAGGCCAGGGGACTAGAAGAATATGGGGCTCATGCATATCCCCGGCATTTGTTGGCCCTGGTGTTCAAGTGGCAGGTGTACTCACCAGGGAGATCTGCTTCTCCAGGTGTTGGTTTTCCTCTCTCCGATACTGTCGCTCTTGCTCCAACTGCACCTGAAGTTGCTGAATGGTCATGTTGGCTTCTGAGAGGACTTCCTGCGACTCTCGTAGCTAATGGTGTAGATATACAACGTCCGGTTATTTTACACATTTGCAGAGAATATTAAAATTGCACGTTCAGACGTTCAGCTCCAGCGGGGGGGCCTTTGTGAGCGGGCATTTATATTAGTACGTTAAGGGTTGAGGCTGCGTTTGTGAAAATTTTTTGAACGAACAACACATTTGAAAAATACAAATACTGCATAGACAGAATAACATTTGTAGATTAGCAATGATTCGTGTCATAAAAGCAAAGGTATAAAATTACACCACGTGAGATAGAAAACAGCAAGAGACAACTGAAATATAAGTGAGAGTGATAAAGTTAAAATTAAGCTTGATTTGAATCATGTTAATAGTATTAGTCTACTAACCTCAGATTCCACAGAATCTGTTTTTCCATACATTCGTTCATGCAACGCTCCGGAAGAGGTTTTGTCTGCAGGTGTTAGGTTGCAAGCCTTGTCAACTGAATGTTCATCCCAAGACGCCTGATCCTCCAGCTCAGACTTTTATATACAGTTTATAGAAGACAGACGTCCACACACGACACACACACACAAACATACACGCACGACACGCGCAAAGACACAACGCACGCAAGAACAAAAATGACAAGAGAGGAAAAATTTGACCTTTTAACGTAAAAAAAAATGAAACGATAGAAAATAATCTTCGTAAATAAAAACGAACACGTAGCGGAGTAATTGAATCACAGGACGATGAAGAGGAAAAAAATAAAAGCCAACTTAAAGATGAAGGCATAGGACATGGAAGAAAACAACAGGAGAGCGAGGACTAAAAAGATGATTGGCTGCAAAATCTGCATTGCGATGACGGGCGACAGAGAAGAGTGGTGAGAAGGGAAGGGGACGGGGGAGTGCAACAATTCATGGTTATGCGCACATGCAGAAGCAGAAACATAAGTGAATAGCAACAGCAGCATCATGCCAGAGTGTGCTGATCTTTGGTTTTTAGATAGAGCATCAAACTGTGTTTGGCATGTGAGCATGCGTTTTTCAGCAGGCACTGTATGACTTTTTTTTTCTGTATAGTATTACTATTATCAGGCTTAACATTGCTGTAACATGCCAATCACATGTATTAGTCCTTATGGCACTGTGCAGCACCCGATGGTATAAAACGAACATGTTAAAGCAATCGTAAGCCCCACGGATGACAATGCAAGTGGATTAAAGGCACAATGGACATTTCATTTTAATATGCAATATTGCAGTATCTTTAAAATGCGTTTGTTATTGAACACGTAAGTGGCATTAAGATCCTAGTTTTCTGTGTCTCTATCTGCTTAGAAGACACTGCAGCTGCATAACCTCCTTAAAAAGCTTATCCAGGTTTAACCAGGAGCAACATCAACGGGTGGTTTGTAGTAGGAAGCCAAATTATGAACACTACAATATGGCATTTACAGTACCAGTGTGTTGTAATTAAATTAAACCTGAACATGCACACAACTCTAATTTGCATACGTGAAAATGCAGGCTTTAAAATCTGGTTTAAAAAAATACAGTGCAGTCCTTTTAACATTTGGTTTCACGAGCTGTGCTCACCTGGAAATCCAGTGTGTGGTCCCGATTCAGAGAAAAGTGGGAGAAGGTGTCTCTTGTGCAAGTGTTATCTTCATCAGCAGCATCATCCGCTGAAATGTCAAGTTTTTCGATAAAAGATTTCAGTTCTTTGCCTATGTCCCTCATCCTAGCATCGATTTTGTCCAGCAGTTGTGGTCCACTGTTCGCGAATGAAGCTTCCCCTTCGTTTTCTTCGACTTCACTGCACGGCATGGCATCCTTTGCTTCGCCGATCAAACTGTCCGTGTCGGATATCAGCGACTCTACAACCTTCCCGAGACGCTCTGCTTCGCTCCTGAAGCGCGCGAGTTTCCGCGGTTCCTCGTATCGTCTCAGGAGTAGGCTCATGTCATTCTCCATCTGAGAAGTGGCTTCTTCCCGATGGTCCTCGCTCTCTCCCTCACCACCCACGGGCCCCTCGCGTCTCAATTGGGACGGTTCTCCAAGGTCCTCGAGACTGCCGTCGGTGCTCTCCTTGTGGCTCGCCTGGGAAACGAGATCACTGCCCTGCGCTTTGCAGAGCAGAAGCCTGTTCTCGTACTGGAATTTCGCCAACTTGCCGCTCAGCTGCCCGATCTTGCTGCGTGCAATGTCGAGCTCCTCCTGCAGACTTTCGGATGACGGGGGTCCACTCTCGGACATCTCTTCATCCCAGTCACCTTCAGGGTCAGAACCCGGCCGCGAGCGTCCGAGCTCCTCTGTGAGCAGCCGATTTTGTTCCTCCAGCTCCACCACCGACCGACGCAGGACCTCCGCCTCTTCCTCGACGAACTGGAGGTGGCGCCTGAGCTCGCACGCCGACTCGCCCAGCTCCCCATCCACCGAAATGCAAGACCTGTGGTCGTCCGCGTCAGAGCCTTCCGCCGTCGCAGACCCCTTCTCGCAGTGGCACTTCATCTCTTCCATCTCGCTCTTGAGGCCTCCGTTCTCCACCTCCAATTCCACGATCTTGCGGCTCAGGACGGTGGCCTCCTCTTCCACGAGCCTCAGGCGAAGCTTCAGCTCGGTCTCCCGCGTGCTCGGAGGGCCACCGCCGATGGCCGAGCTGCCGTCCCCTGCAGTAAGGGGCCCATCCAGGTCACCGTACGAGGCCTTGTACTTTTGTAGCTCCTGCTCAAAGCGGTCTCGCTCCTTCCCAACGCGCACCATCTTGCGGCGCATCAGCGCAGCCTCCTCCTTCAGAAACTGCAACTGGCACTTGAGGTCTGCATTGTCCTCCTGCAAGAGTGGTGAACGGTGATGTTTGTGGTGTCTGCATGGTAATGTCAAATCGAGCTGTGACAAACTTAAATGTTGATCATAGCTGATGTTTCACTTTATTTATTAAATCATTACTAGCCTATGGATGGATTTTGCTACAGTGGTCCGTGCACTGCAGTATTAACCTCGTGATACGAGTTTGATTCCCGACTATAGCTGACTATGTATGTATGTAGAACTCCTTTTGCACCGTATGTCGCCAACCGTGCTAATCGGAGATGCGGAATGTGAACCAGTCCTGGGCACCCATATTACTAACCCACACTGACCAGTGTGGTGAAGTGTGGTCAAACAACCCCTGTGACTGACAAATAATGGGCAGGGCTTTCATCCGAATGTGTATTGATAATCCAGGGAATACAATGATTATTTTTTATATATAAAATTTGCTTGGATTCTTAATTCATAACTAGTGCGAGAGGCCATCGAGATGGATCGTGACCTGGGAAAAAGGAAGACGTGAGGGGGTCCATTATTGAGATGAAAACTATTCATATGCATGTTTCGATTAAGGGTCAGGGGGCTAAGATTCCCAAATGGACACCGACACAAATCAGCGCTGTCACATTGGCAGCGTCGCAGTTAAGGTGGCTTTGTTTCTCTGCAGCTCATGGGTGTGACCTGCGTAAGCCTGGTTTCCTGCTATTTTGAAGGGTGTATGTTGTTCCTACCGCGCCTCCCTCCCTGTGCTTTAGTCAGGGCACAGGAAATCTGTTTTGTTTGGTTTCACTTCCTTCTATTTAGTCTCCCTTCCCTCTCCAGCTCGCCCTCCCCACCCCCAACCCTGCACATTGTAAACAATGATGTGCCTCGTGAAACCCAAGCAGCCTTCTGAAAATATTTGGGAACATTGGGGGTGCAATTTGCGTATTTGTATTCGAAAGAGGCGGCGGTAAGGAGTCACCTTTGCTAGTAATAATTTTAAATCGGATTGCACCCATTTAAATTATCACACGCGATGACCCCTGAGGTTAATTCACATTGCACTTGAGCGGCCAGGTGATTTGTCAGTGGCCCAATAAATCTGTTGTCGGTGCTTGAGTGTGACAGCTTCCTGTTACCAGGCTGACGGTGCATCAGTGACTGGTTACGAGGTTAGGCGATGTCCGAGCCACATGTACATTTACCGCCGTCTAGCTGCTGGCCGTCAGTCTCGCATGCTTCACGAGTGTAAAACACGGCAATACACGACTACGCGTGGCTTCAGGCAAGAGTTACATCTGACACTTGACGATGTCGAAATGCATTGGGACTGGCTGCCTTCATCAACATATGTTTTCCATAATAGAGGTTTTTGGGTTGATATTGATATTGATATTATTGGTCGCGAAAGCCTACATGTTAAACATATGTTTTATACATTATATATGTGTGTCCAGTGTACTCTACTATATTCGATGACAAAAACTAGAAAAAAATGTACAGGTGCTGTTTCATATGTATATAGTATACATAGTTGCAAATGTTGCCATGGTTGATTAACGTGTCACCATACTGCAGCATCATTTGTTGATACATTTCACTTGTCTTTATACATTAGAAACAAAAACAAACCGCTAACGGCCCACTGCTCTTCTAACGTGCGATTGTGCAATGGTGCTGCCACAGTCTTTGATCGCATGATATATCTGCCAATGATCAGAAGAGTCTTGACAAAGATATTGCACACCAATACTAGAGATCATTGCCTATTCACTGTGTAATCTTTACTGAAAGCACTCGGACATAACAATGAAGTACATTCGGTATTCGTGCCATTCTTATATTGTAAGGCGATCATGAAGGCACTATGTTTCGCAGACATGGTCTGCATGAAGTTTTACAGTCGGGGGCAATGTTGCAAGGTGAAATCCAAATTTGGCAAATATGAACCATGACGTCAACACATAATGCCCTCCTCGTGTTGAATTACGTCACAAGGTCTTCAACGTCCACTGCGAAGCAGATTGCGCATATTTTACGGCTAATACACCCACAGTAATAGCCAGGCCGGCTGGCCAGGTTTTAACCACGAACCTCTCCAACAAGCGGTGAACGTGCTAAAGTTGTTATGGAGCTAAAAAAAAGCTCTCATTGAAACACCCACGTATAAATAGTGTCCATTATTTTGGGTGACAAGTTACTTAAGAAATGATAAATAATACATTTATTAACCGGAAGCAAATTAATTATTACAGAGTCTACTTGCTAAACCCCATTCTAAATAATACGTATTAGGACCGAGCAAGTGAATCTGCCTTGGTATATTAATATTCTCTGCGCCAACACATGTGCAGCAAGTGGAAATGATTGAGGGGGGTGGCATTCTACCAACATTTATACAACAAATATATTGGCTGCCGCAAGAACAGGGAGTTCTACCCTTTATAAATGCCATCTCGGACTATGCTTCTGTGTAGAAGTCTAAAGCACCTCCGACTAGCATCGTTGGCTATGCACGGTACGAAATAATTTCAACATACATACATCTATGGGACATTTTTGCCAGTATCAAAATGATGAAAACAGAACAATAGGCTTCACCGTTTCTGGCAATAAGGCAGGAAAAACATGCGAAGAAACATTCTCTGATAATATATGGGGCATTGTCTTTGAAACTGATAGGCCTACACCAGAGACAGCCTTCTTTATGGCCGTGTCTCACCACCAGTGGTGTTAGACCCGAGAAAAACGCCAAAAGGCAAGCGTAAAGAAAGCTGTCTCTGGTGTAGGCCAATCAGTTTCAAACACAATGCATATATATTTTCAGAGCATGTTTGTTTGCATGTTTTGCCACAACTACGTGTAGTTAATACGAGACTCGATGCCGCTCAATAGGTATTTATTTGGCGTTCGAACGTCATAACACCTGTTCTGTTGCCAGAAAGGGTAAAGCCTATTCTCTATGCTTTCGTGCATATACATGCAGGGCATAAGTTGGTGTGCTCCGCACGTAAAGCCCTCTAAGAGCTTTCCTCGCAGCTAACGCGCTTACCGTCCGAGTTTGCCTGTCGCATATAGCACTTTAAAACGTGATCACAGGAGAGCGGAGGTTATCTTTGGCTACATTTATCGATGTTCAGGGTAGCCTTGAATTAAGCACGCTCCTGATGTAATGGAAAGAGACTCGGAATTGAGCCGAACACATTTAGGGCCTAAAATGGCACTGAAAACACCACCAATGGCACACTTCGAAGGCTGTCCAGCCACAGTGTCAGCGTGATCACGTCACGCCAGAAGGTCGCGTGGAAATGTTTACCAATGGAGAGTTGTGTTTTCTTTCAGTAAGTGGAATACGGTCTACATTGAAGTACGATGAATTGGAATCCAAAGCTTTTAAAATGCAATCATACTATGTGTATAGTGTACACATAATAAATCATTCCTTATACAGTAGTAATTAAGAGATTGTATTGTACAGTATTGCATAAATATATTTCATCATATTTTAGGAGGCCTTCGTACATACGCTCTGGACATTCAGCACGTAAATGTGCGGATTAATCAATTATAAGAATCAGTTACGCCGGTGACAAAATGCACAGTAGTGTGGTTATATTCCACTTGTCTTACACTTCCCTCACCCATGGTCGGGCTCTCTCTATGCGTCAGCTCTATTCAGCCTCACTGACCATTGATCGGAAGAGCTGCGCCTGCCACAGTGTAATGTGTATGGCAGCAAAGCTCATTAAAGCTGAAGAGAGCCTCAGGGAAAATGTAAGCTCTTTATATACGCTTTCTTGTTAATCAGATTTCAGGCTCGTGTCGGCTCATCATTCGGCATGGGAAACACCGAGATTTATCTCTGGGAGCCATTATTATCATATATATTTAGACGACGATGATTTAAAACTGTATATTCTTGTTTGTGGGGAGCGGTGACACTGTGGCTCATGTACTATGCGACAAACCCGGGGATCCGAGATCGATGCCTGACCACGGTTGACATCAGTGGCACGTGGAATCTGGACTGATCCTGGGTGCCTCCTTCACCAAACTGCAATGAACCAGCCTGGTGAAGTATGGCCAAACAACCCCTATGACTGACATTGGATGCAGAGGCCTCCACCCAGTAAATGGATTGATAAATGGCTATACATTTTATATATAAGATACAGCATATATTATACCTGTTTTGGATGGGCAAGTGGAAACACATGTTAAATACAGGGTGTTTAAAAAATATTGACCCATTTTCAAAGCAGTATATTTCACGATGGCAACATGTTACAATTACACAAAAAGTTACAAACGATTTAATGAGTTATCAAGTTTTACTAACCATTTTATAAATGCTCTATGTGCCCTCCACCTGCTGTACGGACAACATCGAGAAGATAGTTGAATTCGTCCCAAACGTCTCTCAAAGTGTCTTCTTCCATTGAAGTCACCTCTGCCGTGATTCTGTTTTTGAGGTCATCCAGATTAGTCGCTAATGGTGGCACAAAAACACGGTATTTTGGGCCACCATGCTCTTTGACATTGGCGGATCAATGCCAAAACGCCGTTGAAACGCACGCTGCACCGCAATTACGGATTCAGTCTTGCTGAACTGCAAAACGCAAAACGCCCCTTGTGTCACGGAGGGGTCACCGTCTTGCGAATGACTGAGGCTAGGGGCTGTTTGTGCGCTGGGAGAGGCATCTAGCGATAATCATTTGAAACTCGGTGCCCCGCCCTTTCAAGTGGTAAGAGTTTCATTCATGGGCGGTTCGTGGTTGCAGAGATATATCGATTTCAAATAGGGTCTATCTTATTAAAACACCCTGTACATTAATATACTCTCACCAATGCCTTGGCCGCCTTGTTTAATGGACTGAATGTGCATTAATTCCTGAGGCGAAGAGTTGAAACTCATAACACCAACCTGGGACAAAGGTCTCTTTTCTGGCTTGTAGAGCTCCCTGCTGCCACGCCTTCGAAGCGAGCTCTGAAAAAAAACATTTGTACACGATCAATCAGATGTTTGTTTTAAATTAAAACCAGCTGTGAACACATTGCAGTACAATCTTCTTTTGCATAAATCCCACAACTCACAAGGGCAGCCGACTTTGGTTACCAGTTAACCGTACACTGCTCACACACAATGCTCCTGAAAACGCGTGGTATGTGTACGCATTATTGAATATAAATCTTCACCCACTTAATACAGAGTGTAAAGCCTACTGAGATATTCATGTCCTTTTGTTCAAGAGATTTGGGACAGTGCAATTAAAACTCACGATAACCTGCCCACTCTTACACTACGTGATTGTCTTGACAATATGAATTGAATTGGTTTTATGTCATTAACTTGAGGGGATATTCCTGAACTAATAATGAGGCAGACCCAAATTAGGAGGTCCAATTTTTACAACCGCTTTATTGTGCCAATCGGCCAATCCAGCCACTCCCACTTAACCTAGCACGCAAAATAAAGAACTCCGTTATTTCGAAGAGCAAATGTATGTTAAAATAAAGTCAGATTTTTTTAAACATTATTTCCTTTTATGAAATACCACCACAAACATCTCACATTCATTTGGATTTTTTAAAAGTCAACTTGCGTAGTTAATCTTGTAAATCACCTTATTTAGTTAAATGGACATCCCTGACAATTGCATGTGACTGACCTATTAACAGCAATGAGGCTTAAATTTTGATTTAAAGCTTTCGTGACTGCAGGGATTCATATTCTTGGTTCTTTCGGTAAAGTCACGTAGAAGGGAAACAATAAAATAAATCAGAGTTTATATAGCAATGAGGCTTGTTAATAGCAATTAGTTAAAAAAAGCAAAATATACATAACTCTACTGTAGCTATACACTTATACACAAAACGCATCTTAACAATCCGTTCACTTGTTGGTAACTTGATGAAGAATACAGTTTATAAACATGACGCTTCATTTTTTGATTTAAAGCTTTCGTGACTGCAGGGATTCATATTCTTGGTTCTTTCGGTAAAGTCACGTAGAAGGGAAACAATAAAATAAAAAAAATATAAAACAATAAAATTATCACGACGTTTCGACTGCAACACAAGCAATCATCAGGTGTGAAAACCACAACAAGAAAATTTGAAAAAAAAATAACCGCTACTTTTTTCAAAATTTCTTGTTGTGGTTTTCACACCTGATGATGATTGCTTGTGTTGCAGTCGAAACGTCTTGATAATTTTATTGTTTTATATTTTTATTATTTTATTGTTTCCCTTCTACGTGACTTTACCGAAAGAACCAAGAATATGACGCTTCATGCCCAATTAAATACACCCAGATGTTAAATTATATGTGAATGACGAGTCAATGTAAAGTATGATTGTGCAAAATCCATAAGGGGCAAATGAGACGTGACAGCGGTGTTCCCCTTTGCCATGTTTAAACCCCTAAATCCACCTTTAGAACGTGCCACATTTAACGGGAACATTGCAGCATTTAAAAAAAGCCTTGGAATGAGTGGCCCCAAAGTGCCTTTGTCTCATATGTTTAAGCAGCAAAAAATCCGAGTGTTGCCCCTAGGGGCTGGCACTCGGCTCATCCCTGGTGGGTGTCGCCAATACGAGCAGCTGCTATGCATTTGCTCAGCGGCATGGCAGCTCTCTTAAAGCCCTGGCCCCTGTTTCAAGTGCTTCCAATTTCACCCATTAAACCCCACAAAAGAATCCATTGTGCAACGTCCACGCATTACTTTTACAATGCAGGATTTGTAAACCTACGAAGTGAATCACACGTCCTGAAGAACGATTTTTTTTCTATGATGGCCCCTAAGCTGAAATTCTATCTCTTATTTTTTATTGTGATATTTTAATTTCCCGAAGTTGCTCTTGGTTTTGAGAACTGTGAACTGGGTGTGGTAGAACTAAGAACTATAACATCTTCGCAGCAATTATTCCTGTTGTGCCTTTCGTATATTTGTATTATATATTCGACCTTTGAACTATACAGGTTGTATCTTGACTTAAAGCTTTCGTGACTGCAGTAATTCATATTCATTGGGTCTTTCGGTAAAGCCACATGAATATATACATGTTGTCACTGAAGAAATATAATTGTATGGTAGTTTTAGCTAGGTCGATACGACACACGCATTTGGCCATGTTAAGATTTTTTTTCATCATGTTAGTTTTATATCTCTAAACCTCTAAATGTCTTCATGGTGTTGCCAGGCATGTCGGGTGTGATTGTGTTGAATGCTTCTGTTATGTGTTGTTGAACATATATATAATTCAAGATAATTGGTAAGGTAAAGACTTGGGTACATAAAGAATATCTTCTTCACCATGCTACTATTCCATCATGCAGATAAAAATGCTGTAGTTTTTCTATAACGGAGTATATATTTATATACAGACACTCTGGAAACAGTATTTATCTAAAATCAGGCCAGGTAGCTGAAACATAAGATTATGGCCCTGCTGAAACATTAACCTTCTGGCACATGTTAGTTTGTTTTTCCTTGAAATGTTGCTCATCAAGCTAGGCATGGCGTAGAGAGGGCGAAGATTTGTGAAGCCAATCGCTGTAAAAACACACGAATGCAGCGGTGAGTTAAAGGTTTTGCCACGCGCCAGAGCTCTCCAGCTATTGCCTGCAAGCGCCCTTCGGCCTGCTCAGAACGCACATACTTTACGACAAACACATTGCAGTCCGAAGAGTCCTTTATTGGCCTGTCTGCGTCGATCACCGACTTGTTAGATGATCGGCCAGCAAGCGACGCGCGGCTGTTTTGTATCTTTCTGCGCTTTTGCATGTCTCACAAGAGAGAAATATGATCGCAATGTGGATGGTTTTCTGTTGCTCTGCCTGCCTGCCTCTGTATGTCAGGCCTTCCCGTGGCAGTGCTTACACCATTTGGAGGAAGTGTGGAACTTGCATGGCGATTCAAGTGTCGAACACTGTGCCCCCGATAATATATTGCTTAGGGCAAAAGGTCAAAGATCACAAGTACTATACTTCCAATCATTGCAGCCTTGAAAGAGGTTAACAGTACGGATGCAGTGTTTCACTTAATGCACTTCACTCCAATTATACATTAATATCATTAAGTACATATATCATTCATTATTCATACGTTTTTTTTAAATCAATGTGCCTGACCAAGCAATCCACAAACAAACTTCACCATCATTTTCATAAATCAGCTTGTATTGACTGTGGCGTTGGTTAAATGCAGTTCCATTGGGGGAATGAATTAAAAACCAAGCCGCAGAAGCACAAAAACAATCAATTCTGCTTCAATCAGCAATCCCACCTCCCGCAGTCTAACACTGTACCTTTTTATTTTGATGCTAACCACATGTTGACATGAAGGCATTCGGGTAAACATTTTCTATTGTGGCAATGGATCAAGCCTACTGTGAGTTAAAAGTGTGACACTATCTTACTTAGATCTCTACTTAAATATATCAAATACTGAGCTGGGGGAGCGGGCGGGGTCTCTGCAGAAATCGCATTCATGCACGAGTCCATCCCGCCAAAACGACATATATAAGGCTACATAAAAAAATCTATACATATACAGGTAATCCTCTACTTACAATCGAATTATGTTCCAGAGGTCTGTGCGTAAGTCGATTTGTTCGTAAGTCCAATTTTACTCCTGTCGATTTCAAACATGTTGTACGGCATGTACACTAAACACGGGGAATGGCTTTAAAAGTTGTATAATTTTCTGTAGATGTCACAGGTTCTTCATATTCTGCAGATGTAGATGCCACCACTGCTATCTATTTCGTGGCGGTTGAACTTACAGACTCTCGGTCCGAACAGGCAACTGGACATATGGACAGATTTGTTCGTATCTGTGATCGTTCGTAAGCCGAATGTGCGTAAGTAATTTCATCACATTACATGGGTATAAGTGTTCGGTTTAAAATAAATTAGACCAACTGCTATTTGTTTGACTTTCTCTCTTATGACCTGAACATACGGAGTTGAGTCTGTGCAATGGTTTCATTTAGATCATATTTTATCACCTTGAGCCACTTTCTAAAGCCAAATTACACTCCAGTATAAAACGAAATTACACACAGGCTGTAACTATGTCACAAATTACCTAAAAGGGACCCAGTGTAAGTTTTCAACCATGATCAGCCCCGTGCCTGTTGGATCGTAATTTGCGGTGTATAATAGTTGAACACTTAACATCCATGACATGAAGCAAATATGTTTATACTCGACAAGGAACTTAAGGTGCTTGGCTCACTGCTCTGGTTGAAAAGGAAATCCACTACAGAGGAACCTGTCAGAGGTCATGCAAAGGCTCGCACAATACCACCATTGTCATGTACAATCAATAAAGCCGTGGCTTTAACAATAGGGCTCTCAGAACGCCGAGGTAGCCCCATTGTTTTCTATGACCGAGTGGGAAATGACATCATGGCTGAGAATTCGGCCACAATTGCAACCCGGCGGCGGGGCGAGGTTTATTTGTTGGGAAAAGCACTGCAAACCACACTGAGAGCGGAAGCGTCTCTAGAACTTATGTGCTCATTGCTTATGCACCGCACGATTGCCCCTGCCCGATACGAGCGTTCTGCGTTCGGGAGATGTGCAACACTACATTGACGTTATTCGGCGCGTGCTCAGATGTGCAGTGCAAAGCAGATTACGGATGAGGCGAAGCGGAGGTGAAATTGAAAAGAAGAACGGCAGATATCATCGATGACGCTTCTGACGGTGTCAATAAAGTCCAACAAGTACATAAACATGATGTGTAAATATCATGATACATTCCACTGTTAAGTATTACGGTACTTAGTCCGTGCTGCAGGTCTGTTGGGTGCGATGTATACTTGATTGTGAAAATTAGGTCACTTGTGTATCTATTCTTGCTTTCACAAGATATGGCAATGCAGTCACAGTCACGAGTACAGCCACACACCATCTCATTATTCCAGTCAGTCAGATATTACATTTATCCGACTAAAATCATCTCAGAGCTTGTGTCATGTTTATATTTAGAGAGATTGTTAACAGACTAGTGCACTGCTCACCGTTCACAACTCACCCTTAAAATTGGCTCGTCAAACCTAAAGAGCATGAGATTGTTTCTGTGATAGAGAGCGTTATAACTGTGTCCACGCAGCATGCCATGGCAAATTAAGCCGTCCAGTGCTCCCGAAGATTAATGCCTATTGAGTACCAGTGCATGGAAATTTGGGAAATTCCAGTCATGATTTGCCAGCATGCCTTACCCTGTTCACAATTCTGGAAATGTAACAAGTAGACGAAACCCACAATTGTGTTCTGTTGTACATGCTTAGTACAATGGGTATATGATTGGAAATAGTGTTTGCCAGAAAATAAAATCAGTCATCGTAGGAAAAAATTGTTCCACATTCTCTTCCTGAAAAACAAAATGGCTTTCGCGAATAAATTATGTCCTTGCTGTAAAATCCTGAACGCTATACTGAGCTTCACCCACCGCCGATGAATGTTTATTATTTGTGTTTTCATGCACTATGCTACGAACCCCGGTGACCTGTGTTCAATTTTCAGTCACGACTGTCGTCAGTGCCGAGTGATGTCAGAATGAGACCCGGTCCCCCCACCACCTTGGACTGGTGAAGTATGGTCTAATTACACCGAACATCTACATGGTGTGGGGAGGCTTTCATAGGGAACTGGATTGGATTGACAAAGGGCAGCAAATGTATTATTACGCTGAATGCTGTTAATACGAGAGTTTCTTTTTGTAAATACACTTATTTATAGACTCGAGAATGGCCTCAAATGCAAATGGGGCACCATTTCATTTTTAGGCATCACGAAAATGTATGTTGTACTCTAAAACGCACAACGTACGGCACGAACGCACAACACATCAGCACTGACGCACAACATGCATCACTGACGCGCAAAATAAACCCAAACATAATAATAGTATTGATAATGACTTGAAAATGTTCAATCATGTAGTAGGCGATGCCGAGGTGCTTGTGTGGTTGACAGTGGCGCTCGAGATCATGGTCGAGGAGGGCCGGGTCACCCACCTCCTTCAGCTTGTCCATCTCGTTCTGCAGCGCTTGCTTCGCGACCTCCAGCTGAATGAGCTTGGCACGCAGGGTATCGTTTTCATCTTCTGCCCGCACACGCCGGTCCTCCACGCTCTCCAGCTCACGGTGAAGCCTCACCGAGACGTCCTTAGCAACCTATATCCGCGCGGGGGGGGGGGGGGGGGGTGACAATGACTCGTGGATTATAACAGAAAGAAAAAAAGCTTTTACTGAAATTAAAGCTAAATTCTAAAAGTGCTTTTCCTGCTCATTTGATTTTGATGTAGTGCTCACCTCCCATTTACAGTCCTGAGCCAGTGGTGGAAATTCCACATTTCTATGGTGGGGAAAGTCAATCCTTGGGGCAATCACTGTTGACTTCCCCACGAATGGATACTTTGAGTATTGACCTGAAAGGTGATGATTGGCTGAGTGAACCCCAACCAGGGTTTGAATTTCGATTTAAAGCTTTCGTGACTGCAAGGATTCATCTTCTTTGGTTCTGTCGGTAAAGTCACGTAGAATGAGAATAAAATAATAAATTGATAAAATAAAATAACACAATAATATTCTCACGACGTTTCGGCCACAACACAAGTGGCCTTCATCACGTGACTTTACCGAAAGAACCGAAGAAGAGGGTTTGAATTCTCAAATTTCCGATCTACTGAGCCAGCAGGATGTGCTAAGAGAGCAATAACGATTATTGGAGATGCTGCTATAATAATATAATAATAACAACCTACATTTTATAAAGCGCCTTTCATATTGACGTACACTGGACTTCTGGACTTGAAATGCAGAGGTCACCAGTTGAGCTCCCGGCATAATAGTTGAAACAATAGTGCAATATGTTTAAATTCCCCCCACCTCTGTCTACCCAGCAGTATACATTTGTACTCCCATAGCCAATTGGTAGATCACATGGTGGGGTAAAGTAAGGGTACTTCCACCTCTACCAAGACGTCTGGCCAGCATGAAAATAAAAGGGCAAATACCCACTAGAGGTGCTATCTAGAAGTCCCCCTGGTGGGTCCTCCCTATAGCTCCCAGACCAAAAACCTACTCTCTGTACTGTATTACATGCCACCTTGTAACCCTGTAAGCAGACATCGTTACGCACGGGCTAAGGGCCGGGCTGAAAACACAGAGCCACAAGGCCGAGGGTCCTTTGGTCGACGCCAGTGTGAACGCCAGTCAAGGGCCGATCATCTAGGCCAGTGTTCTTCACTACTTTTGAGGGGCAGCCACTTTGGCTGATCAGACATCAGTGTGAGGGCCGCCACTAATTTGAAACCACCGGGTTTCACAGGACGCTGGGGTGTTTTCACATTTGTTTATTTTTGGGGGCCGCACGTCAGGGACCGCACTAAAGGCCACCAGGGGCCGCCAGTGGCCCGTGGGCCTTGCAATGAAGAACACTGCTCTAGGCTGAGGCTAGTATCAAGATCAGTGCGGTAAGGCTAAGGCCTCGGACTGAAGCCACACTCCCGAGGCCAAGATCAAGTATGAGACCTGGGGAATTGTCCTTGTGCTGGGTTTGAGGTCAAGGACTGGCCTGTGATAATTGTGTGATCCTTCAAACTCACCTTTAAAAATAGTTGTACATTAAAAACGTCTTTTGGCCGCCTCACCTTGAGGTCTTGCTCAAATGCCCGGATGAGCTCCCCGTCCGAGTGGCCCGAGTGTGCGGCGGCGAGGGCCCTCAAGCTGCGGCGCTCGGCCTTGCGCAGGCGGTACTGCAGGATGCGGCAAGACTTGTGCGCGCGGTCGAGCTCACGCCGGAGGTCCTGCACGTGCTGCGCGTCCTCCTCCAGGTAGCTGTCCCGCATCTCCTCCATCTCCGTTCTCAGCTCCTCCAGCTCGTCCTGTGGTGGTCACGAGCGTATGTTGGACGCTGTCAGTGCGAAGGTATTTGTCTGCGCATGATTGGCGTGCAATTAAATGATTCCACCCCCTCACCCCCCACCTCCCACACTTCCGATATGAAGAGAATGGTTATTAGAGAGCCATGTGGCAGGTCACAGTGTCGACAACTTTGCTTGATGTGATGTGTAATTGTAATGTTTTTTTGAGAAGACTTGAGAAGAACTTCGTTGTTGTGAGTGCCAGTTGCTTGTTAATGATCTCTCGTGAAATGATGGTTTCTCTTACATCTGAAAACAACAATTTAAGTGACACACAGTTAACCGTCAGGGACCGCACTAAAGGCCACCAGGGGCCGCCAGTGGCCCAGGGGCCTTGCAGTGGAGAACACTGCTCTAGGCTGAGGCTAGTATCAAGATCAGTGCGGTAAGGCTAAGGCCTCGGACTGAAGCCACACTCCCGAGGCCAAGGTCAAGTATGAGACCTGGGGAATAGTCCTGAGACCTGGGGAATAGTCCTTCCAGACAAGACACCAATTCTTGTCTGGAAGGGAATGACTCCAAAGAGGGCACAATTGGTTAACTGTGTGTCACTTAAATTGTTGTTTTCAGATGTAAAAAAAGAATAACAAATGCACATATATCTGATGTGTGTTAAACGGCATTCGTTTTATGCTGACCTACGTGCACATCAGCACTATATTACAACATAATGTGGGAAAAGCACAGACTATGTTGAAGGTCATTTTGGCCACGACATTAGCAAACAATTGCTTTCTATTGTAGAGAGTGTCACGGGATCCTAAATATCCACATGCCAATGCGACCGTTAACTGAGCAGCCCCTCCGAAGAATGGCATGCTTTGAGGTGCTGCGTCTGCCACACAGCATCTTTCATCAGATGGATTCCTACTTCACCGAGTGATGCTGTGCTTAACAATACATTAGCGTTGTATTTTATTTGTATGCACCATGTGCAAGTTACTTCTGTTGACCTGTGTAATTTTTTTCGCAATCTTGCTGATATTTCCAGCTGTTTGTAATAATACGCTGAGCGAGTTCAACATGGCATTGGTGATGCTGAGCGTTGTAATTGCGTATGCAGATTGTGTGTGCTGATTGTGTATACAATCTAACCCATTCATATAAATCTAACATTAGTTAGAATCTCATTGGTGCAATCCGTATTCCTACATGCCCATGTATAAATCATGTTTTTGTAATTGAGTTTTATCCACAAATATACCGATTATAGACAACGAAACTCTAATACATAGTTAATATCATGCAGTATTTAGGGAAGCAGATTAAATAGAGGGCCTGATAAATAACTAGCTGCAATAAGGCTCTGGAAGGAATAAAAATCTGGCTTTGTGTGAATACGTATTGCGGCTTGAATAAGGAGCCAATTCTCTCTTGTGTTTAAAAATGAGATGTGTGTGTGTGAATAAAGAGGCAGTTACTTATACCAGGGGCGAGCAGTGAATAAGAAGCTGGCTGGCCATGAAAATGGAGCAGAAGTAAGGATCTATCTTATGCGACATTATTTTGTGAATTCCCAAACCAGTTGCCAAGAGGAAGTCAACAAGCCAAGGCCAGTAGCCTTCATCAAAACAATTGCACATTTGGAAACATGCTATTTGAGGTGTATGATGTCATTTCAGGTACACAGAAAAAAAAACTCATGGACTTCTTTACACTGTGGGTTTTAACTTTTACAACGGCCTGCAGCTTTGTAAAGGAACAATAAAAGTGAGTGAAGTCAATCTTGGACTACATTTACATTTATTTAAGCCGTGTGCAGCTATTGTCTCGTGAGATATAATTTTACCAAAATCACACTGATCCGTTACAATAACAGAAGGTAGCTAGATTTTTTTTTTTAAATAACACTCATCATCAGCCGTGATCATTCCACTGCCCAAAGAAGCCTTTCCCAATCCATCAAACATTTCTTACGGTCCTGCGACACAACAATCCATCCAGCGCCTGCACGCGTGCTGTTTTCATTGTTCCAAATTCGCAGTGGCCATTATCTTAGGTGTGTTCCCTCCTTACTCCGTCACATTTCCTCGTGAGCCTCGACCGTTGGCCATCATTCTTGTTAGTGACATGTCCTGCTCAAGGCCACTAACTTTTCGTGTTTGTAATTTCCCGAATTCATGTCACAAATTTGCATCTTCTTGTCATGTTTATTGTTGCGCTTTCCGATCAGTACGCCACAGCAGTTAGTTCACATTGATTGAAACGTAATTTCTTAGGCATCATTGGTATGTTGCTTTTCGCTACTTGCAGTAGTTCCAAAAGTAGTCCAACCTGCTCTCTTCCAAGTCGTTAATTATTTTGACCCCATTCCGCCTTCAATAACTCCCATAGGTATGTATACTATGCTGTGTTTTCCAGTTGTGTCCCTCCGCCAGATATCTTCAATTGTTTAGTGAACTTATTTTACGAGACATTTTTTTGCTTATATTTAAGCCCCACTTTGCATCTGTCTCCATCAAGTTCTACCATTTCCTGTAGTTAATTTCAATTTTGATGATGTACTGTAATGACTCTTTCATCAGCATATCTGAGATTGGTAATATTGTCTCCATTTATGTGTATTCATTTGTTTCTTAATCCACTTTTTAAAAGCATATTTGAATGTTGCTGTGAATAACCTTGATGAACGTGTGTCCAACCGTCTCAGACTCCCCCACTAATATGTTTTTATTACTTTGTATCTATTTCTGTAAATTGATTGTATTGTTTTTATTTTTTAATTTTATGTAGGCCTGGTTTGAGCTTGAATGATTGCATCAATTTGAACCGAGTAATATCTACGTTCATAGTCTACAAAGGCTAGGCATCATGATAACCGATATTAATTCGTCTTTTCTAAGCCAAGTTTGCTCGTGTGGTTGGTTGGCATCTATATATTCCATTATTCCGTTTTCCAATGATCTTTGTGAATCTTTAATATATGTGCTCTGCCTCTGTAATTTTTCAAGTCAGATTTATGTATGACATGTATTGATTAGAATTCCATGATGGGGGCATTTCATTTATATGCACACATGTTGTAAATAGGTTCACAAATCTTATTTGGTTCTTTCGGTAAAGTCACGTAGAATGAGAATAAAATAATAAATTGATAAAATAAAATAACACAATAATATTCTCACGACGTTTCGGCCACAACACAAGCGGCCTTCATCAGGTTCACAAATGTTCTTCCAACAACTGGTCCTCCATCTTTGATTTCTACAGTTACACCATCTGGTCTAGAAGCTTTCCATTTATTCACACTGTGATGGACAGTGGAACTAGAATCTCTTCATCTGAAAGCAGTTTGATTCTTGCAATATATGATTATGGAGTTTTTGTTAAAAGTCTGCATACAATTCACCCACTCATGTTTTTATTTTGTATCTTATCATGTGTTATGGTTCCATCTCTCTTCCTAAGGGTTACCAAATGTGAATTGCCAAATATTAACTTTCCCTTTGCTGCTTCCATACTATATTTTCTTTCGAACATCCAGTTTTTGTTTTGTTCTCTGATTTATCTTCTCATACTTTTTTATAATATAAGTTACAAAGTTCCGTGCATTCAACTTTTGGTAAGCATCTCAATCTAGTTGTGCTTCATAACAGATACGAATTCTGATTTAAAGCTTTCGTGACGGCACTGATTCATATTCTTGGTTCTTTCGGTAAAGTCACGTTGAAGGGAAACAATAAAATAATATATATAAAACAATACAATTCTCACGACGTTTCGACTGCAACACAAACAGTCATCATCACACCTGAGCACATCACTGCAAACTAAACAATGAGGAAAGCCCATACACTTGGTGAACTATAAATATATATAAATCCCTTTGTTTTTCTGGGAACTACAGTGCTTTGAAATGGGGCACAATAGATTTTATAAAGCGTAAAGTAGATTGCTTTTGTGGGTAACAGGGAATTCGAATGCATGAGCCTTGCGTACAGTGTGAGCATAACAGGAATATTAGACAATGCACAATGCAATAGCAAGGTCCGTTATTGAAGCTTTTAAGTGCTACTCATTCTTACGTTCTTAAAGACACTCCTGTCCGCTTGACTCTTAAGTGGAAAATGCTAATTCTGTTAGCTAAGAGAGTTTGGCAAATGTGAGGGCTTGTAAGCACAAAGTCCAATCGGCTTGATAAGCCCTATGCTAAATCCTGGAGAACAACTTTGCTCACCAACACAATCACGCGAAGATGGATGTTGGACTGGGCTTGCATCATTGTCGTTTGCCAGCCAAGTGTCATTATGGATGTTGACCCTTTGAACTGACCAATAAAAAAAAACCCTCTTTGTCGAGTAGACAATTGATTAAATGAACAATCACATTGCAAAATTATACCACGTAAAACACGTGGGCCTTTGGCATTTAACAGTTTTGGACGATGCACACAATATGATATTATAATCCCCACTTAACATCAAGTCATGTACTGTAAAGCCGTCAATCAATTCAAGTGCCTGTTTTTCAACCATGGAGTGACCTAGTTTTGATAACGGATTTGATGATGGCTGCAGGGTGGAATTTTTTCCACTACACATTCAGGACGCATTTCATCACTGTGTCGGTCAGCAATGAAAATCGATTTACAGTACAGATGCATTAAATGTGTTTAAACCACGTGACTGTGTAAGAAATGAAAACCATGCGTGTATATTTCTGTTCAAATTTAGGTCATGCTGTGCACAGTGGCGTAATGTATGGCAGTAAATCCCAGGAGGCAAAATCCTTGACAACATGTATTGTGTCAGAAATAAGTAGAGCACCCTTAGCAAATATACGTTTTGTAAAATAGGTCACGTAGAGACGTCAATGTATATCTCGGTTACACACTCTGAAACGTTCAAAGACGCGCAGTACACAACGGCCGTAGCGCTCAGAGTATCCGCTGGGTAATTAATTGCATGATTTTAGGGTATTTTTTTTAAAAATCATGATTACGAATTACTGATCTTATTTTGGCAACCTTTCTTGATTCAAATCTCCATCAGCATCCACACATGTGACCCAGTAACCGGGACGATACAACAGCGCAGATAGCTGGGTTGTTTGTAATCAGCAGTAAAGGTTATCCCGTATATTTCGCGTATACATTTGCGCAATTTTAAAACGCACATGTTTGAGCAGGAACATTATGGCAAACAGCAACATCACAATACAGTATATAGTTACGCATGCTGGAAGGTATGTAGTGAATATAACATGCAATCGAAATGAGTGTCGAGATTATATAATACATACAGACGATCGTGAACGAGTGATGTCAATTCTAGTGATGTTCTAGTACGGCTAGAAAGCTCGTCCAGTCCGTGCTCTTAACTAGACAATCCGAAAAATAAATACATCGAATTGGGGCCCTCAATACGAAGGGGGACCAGGAGGGAGGTCGACCGGGTCGAGCCGATAACTGCATTCATTGCATTCACGTGCAATGTCAATTAAATACCCCACGTCCAACACGGCACCCGGGGGCTCTCATCCAGCAGTGGAATGACAAAACGGACGTCATCATATGCCCCACGCTACACGATCACCACCATCCCATCCACTCCGGTGAAGAGTTGACCCCAAAAAGCCAGCAAGAGAGCCGAGATTTATGCACGTATGCTGAACTTCTTTCGCACCGTACGTAGCCAACCGTGCGGTCTTTTAAATTATTATCGGGAGGTCACCAAATACGACTCACACTCGGGTCCCGTAATCGTGCCCCACCCGCACGGCACGGCACCCACCTTGAGATAGGTGTTTTCGGAGCGCAGCTCTTCCATCTCGCGGAAGATCTCCTGGTCCAAGAAGCCGAACTCCTCCACCTCCTCCTCCTCCAAGCCGTACATCTCGCCCTGCCTGCTGGACCGCGCGTCCGTCGCCGACGAGCAGGACTCGGCCGCCTCGCCGGAGCCCTCCTCGTCGGCGCGCAGAGCGGACCTCAGCTCGGACGGGGAGTCCGCCGACTCTGCCTCCATGCCGCTGTCGCTCCAGTCCGCCAAGTCTGCTGCCTTCCCAGCGGCATCTGCCGCAGCAGTTGTCTCGTCGTCGTCGTCGTAGAAAGCAGCAGCAGCAGCAGCTGCTTCGGCGTGCGCGCCGTCCGTCCCCACCACCACCTCCTCCTCCTCCTGATCGCCGTCCTCCGCGCTCTCGCGAAGGTCGTCCAGATGTCTGTCCGAGACGTTCGGATCCCCGCCGCCGCTGCCGCCGCCTCCTTGCTCGTCCGAGACCGAGAGGGGCTCCGAGACGCAGTCCGAGAGGTCGGAGCCGCTGTCCGTGCGCGGCGTCCGAGTGCCACCGGGCGCCGCCGCCGCCACCGCCGCGTCGGACGCGAGCGCGCAACTCGCCGCCGCGGCCACCTTCCTCCTCAACCTCGCCGCGGCCACAGCGACAGCGGCCGTCTTGCAGTCGACGATCTTCTTGGCTTTCAGCTCGGCCGACGACAGGCGCACGAGGAAGCTCTTGGTGGCGCGCGGTGCCCCCACGGAGGAGCACGAAGACACGGACGAGGTCGAGGAGGAGGAGGAGGACGCGCCCGGTTTGACGCCGGGAGAGCCGGCGGCATCCGACACGTGCTTCGCCTTCTCCTTGGCCGGACTCCTGCGGGCCAGGCGTGCCGGGGAGAGGCCGGCTTTGCTGGCCCCGGGCTTGGTGGGCAGCCCGGGCTTGGTGGCCGTGGACAGGCGAGCGTGGCCGCCCCTCGGACGCGCTGGGGACGGTGTCCGGTTGCTGGACCTCTTCTGCTCGGGATGCTGCGGCCGAGGGGGATCTGCCGATGCCGGTGCTGGTGATGATGCTGCTGCTGCTGCTCCGCAGCTTACAGCCTCCATCGTCAGGCGTACGAGCAACGGAACGTTGAAATTGTCGCCCTCCGAATATGCACAGGATATTTAAATAAGCACCCCCTCCCCGAGTTGCAGTGGCATCGACGTGTTTTCAACGAGAAGAACACAAAACAAAAGAAATCAATTACATAAATCTAAGCCACCGACGGCATTAAAACAATAAGAAAAACCACGAATGACAAAAAATATATATGTACGTGGACTCGGCCAGCAAGCAGGCGCCGCGCTGGGGAATGAATCCTTTACCCTACGCTGGGACCGACGATTCCATTCTGAATGGACGCTGTGATGGTCGGCAGGGCGTTGTCACAACGCATCGCTGCTGCTGATGCTGCCGCCGCTATTGCCAGCCAGAGCGTGAATGTGCCTTCTGATCGTGAACCGGTGCGCGAGCATCAACGGCAGCAGCAGCAGCAGCGTGAGCGCCAATTCCCCCCGGGGAGCAGGAGGGGCTGCTGGTGGGCGTGTGGGCGATGAAGCATTGAATCAGGCTGCTGCTGTCGCTGCTGCCTCTGGTGGTGGCTTTTGGTGGGTGGTTGTGGCTTTTGGTGGGTGGTTGTGGCTTTTGGTGGGCGGTTGTGGCTTTTGGTGGGTGGTTGTGGATTTTGGTGGGTCGGTAGGTGGCTTTTGGTGGGTCGGTAGGTGGCTTTTGGTGAGTCGGTCGGTGGTGGTGGCGGCTGCTCTGGCAAGATCTATGCCCTTGCAGTGCAAATCTGAGCACCAATTCATTCACGAGCCGTTTTGCCCCATCGCCAGGGAGGGCTACGGATACTGCCGCTCGTCTACAGAGAGCAATTCATTACCGCGATGGATTAAGTCGGAGAGATGTTTATTTGTTACGACCAAAAGGGGTCTCTAAAACAATGATGGCCACGTAATTATTGCCTGTGGAATATAAATATGTTTTTGCGCTTGACCAAATCACACTGAATGCGCCCGATCACCGTCCAATCCCGAGATGCTCAGCTGCTTTGCGCCTGGTTAGCGCGCGGATGGGTGCCCTGGGCGTTGTGTGCGGTAGAGTGGAGTGCAGGAAAACCCATTGCTCCCCCAACCTTGTCCCAACCTGCACAACCCGCACTGACCATCGTGGTGAAGTATAGTCAAATATCTCTCACGGTTTTCAAGGCGTGGGAAGGTCTTCATCCGTCATTGGATTGACAAAAAAAGCAGGCTGCACGTGTATTTATTTGGTATCCCGATCTCGGAATATCATTGTTTGTGTTATCTACGTATGTTGAACTTATTTCGCACCGCACGTAGCCAACCATGCTAACATAGCTATTTCTGTGACCAATCACAAGCTAATCCCTCAGCTATTTCAATGCTAAATTCTCCTGTTTGATATGTAAACCCCTTTGTCAAGGTGCCTCACTTCTCTCAACCAGCTTAAAAGACGCTACGAATCTTAGCAGCGTTCATTGAAGCTCTGTCGTCCCCACAGTTGTGTTCCTTCACCTGAAGAAGGCTCCTTGTGTTGTGGCCGAAACGTCGTGAGAATTTTATTGTCTTATTTTATTTTATTATTTTATTCTCTTTCTACGTGGTGACTTTACCGAAAGAACCAAAGAAGATGAATCCTTGCAGTCACGAAAGCTTTAAATCGAAATTTACTTTCCTCTTTAGATTGTAAAAGTGCATAGCTCCAGTGGCTTCCTAATATCGGAAGGAAGAGCGTTCCAGACGGCCGCAGAAAGCGCATCTGAAAGCGCACGATGCAGTGACCGTCTTTATACATTCACATTCTCCTACATTCACAGGAGATGCAGCGTCCTCAGGTATGCACGTATTTAAACGGAATTAAAATGCCGTATGAAACAGTGCAATCGCCTGTGACCAAAATCAGCCGGAATGGTCTAGATCTTCATCACACCTCAGAAGTTAAGCAGACATGATCCTGGATAGTACTTGGACAACCAACATTCAACATGTACTGTACTGTATAAGAAACAGGTGTTATCGGCTCTTGTGTTCGATACGTTGTCGGCCACAGAGGGTGGCAGTAGAGGGTGGTGCAGCGGCGTCCGATGTTGGACTTCACTATTACTCACACATCTATGCTCTCCGCCTTCATAAACTTGCACTGACTTTTCATTGAAGGACTGATACAAATCTCAAAACACTGCCACCTTACATAAAGCATATCAAGACTTATTGTACGCTTTGGTTATTTCGGTAAAGTCACGTAGGTAGAAAAATAAAATAAAACAAAAAATAATATATCACGACGTTTCGATCGTAACACAAGCTGTCGTCCTCAGGCGGAAAAAAATAATCCAGCAGCGGAACTGCTGAACTGGCTGATATATTATTTTTTATTTTATTATTCTACCTACGTGACTTTACCAAAAGAACCAAAGAGTATGGATTCCTGCAGTCACGAAAGCTTCAAATCAAAACTTATTGTTTTGCGTGTACAGTCTAGTTTTAAAATGCTGTGGTGTATTTGAATGTCCTTGCTTTTTATTGATCAATTTGTAAGAATGTTTGATTTTTGTTGCATAAGCCCACGTTGTATTTGCTATTTATGATTATTTGTTTCATAGAACGTAATTTATGTTTGTATTCTATTCATTGCAATACAACGAATGGGTTTAAGCATCAGTGTTAAAAGGTTTATGTAATGATGACAGCATACACTTGGCATCGTTTTTCCTTGACACGTGGACATGTATTGATAAAAAGGAGGGTCCTTGAATTATTGACTTGTCCCGAAGCGATTGTTTGTCCAGTATAATTATTTTCATTTATGTTATTAATTCTTTATTAATGTAGCAGCTTATTTGGTGATGCTGCTGCTGCACTGACAGTGGTGCACAAGCACAAATAACAAAAAACCCTCAACCCTTTCGACCAACAACACTGTGGCCTTAAAAAGAAAACTATAAAATAGGCGACTTTTTAGGTAATAGGCCTTCTTCATAGAGATGCCAGAGAGAGAGACGGTGGATAATAAGAGTTGGAGACATCACTTTACACCATGGGACCTCATGAGAATTAAAATGTTTTCTTTTGACCAGTAAAAAAAAATGGCGTATGAATGGTTACCTAATAAGTATGTCAAAGTATCTATTGAGTAACAGAAAAGAATTAAATCACTGGACCGCCTTTATCGCCTTTGTCTATCCACCGATAAATTGCATCACCTCCGACTTGCACGGTCGTGTGCGTACGGTGCGAATGAAGTTACACATAAATACATACATCGTGTTGGTCGTGGAGGTTGTTTGATGATCTATTTCTTCTGTTATATTCTAATGCTTCGGCACGTTGGTCAGTGTGGGTTAGTGAAAGGGGGGGGGGGCGGCAAGACTGGTTCATATTTCGCTCGTCAGTCATGTTAGCCATGTGGCCAGGAATCAAACTCTTGTTGCTGTGTTCATAGTGCAGTGCGCTATCCACTGCTCCACCACTCCACTATCAGTCTTTTTTTATGCATTCACATATACTGCACAGTACTGTACATGCACGGCCTGCATTTTTGGAGTGTGTATATTGTGTACCTCGAGGTATACAACATTCACACATGCTGCTGAAACATATTCAACATAAGAACGATCGCGAAATGCGTATTATTATTGTTCCGTGTTAGTCTGCCGCGTACCATCGACGCTTTTTAATAGTACGCTTATCTTAAGTGTCACATGTCCCGTGTTGAATCAACTACACGTTTAAATTGGCATGCCGATGTGTGCAGCAGAGGCAATGGAGTTAGTTGTACGTAGGCTACGCCGCGTGAAGATAACGTCTAAAACATTAGCCAATTATTAGACCTCGGGTTACAAAAGGAAGATTTAACTCCCGCAGTGTATTCCAGTTTTTGAAAAGCAGAGTTTCAAATAAATTATATCCCTTTTGTCCCAACACTGATTGTGATCGTAGCTTAGTTACGAGCGTGTTCCGTTGTATTTCGTGATCACTGCTACAGTTTTCACGTTCACAGTGTGTTACCGAGCCATTGAGCCAATTCCAGTTCTTAAGTGGTAATACACAATCAGGCAATTGACTCCATGCACTCCTAAAAACCCACCGAATATAACTGAGAGAATTTGCCGCCGTAGTGATGAAAGGTGCCGAAAAGCTGCGCTGGTGGGTTTATAAGTAAAGTTGCGAGCAAATATAGACGCATTTTTTTTGTTACGTTTCACGCCCTCTGGTCCCATTAACTTGCAGCCTGATGGGAGCTATTTACTCAGCTGCCCTGGCGGGGTGCGAGGGGGAGAGAGAGAGAGAGGGAATGGGAACTTTAAGAGTTGAGTGAGCGCACACCCTTTCTCATCTCCAGCCTTGCTTTTTAAAGACTGACTGCAGCTGTTTGTATGGATAACAGCTTTTTATCTGCCCGGATATAACACCCAACTGCGTGTTGTGTTAATAGGTGGGAGAGCATTCACTGCTCCCAAAACGTCACTTATTTGTCTCCTTTGAAAGTGGCCAGTAAACACTTAAGGCTCCGTCCCAAAAAAAAAAACATGTCACGCAATATCCATCTAAAATGTTACTTTCTGATTTTTGTAGTGGAATTATTAATTTATTGCTTCATGTTGGTACTCCCAGTTGTGCTGTGTAGCTTTCTGCTGTGTCGTTTACGCACAGTGGTTTTCTGGCACGTGGAGCGAAACGTCAGACCTCGCTTTAGCTGAACAACACGTGGTCCAACCCGAAAACACATCGGGGAGCAAAAGTCATCACTGGGCATGGGGTTGTAAAGCTATTCACTGATTCACTTGCAGTTATGGCTTTCATATCCTGTGCATAGCATGCCTGCAGCGTGTGTGGTGCTGCATTTGCTGCTGCTGTGATGCATCATCACGGGGAAAGTTTTGCTGTTGAGTCAAGGGCTCAGATTTTTCCATTGTAGTCACGCAAATAATTCCATTCTTTTATTTTCCAACACGCCGGACCCTTATCTTTAGGGAGAAAATGAGAGTGTGATTTGTGCATCAAATGTTAAAACCGTAGAATCGCCCAGCAGACCTTGGAAGATAGGCAGCGTTGAGCCTGTATTGCGCTTGGATGTGTGACAAACATGCATAAAACGGGTGTAGTCGGCATTGCGCATTCGCCAAGCCGCAACTGAATCATCACTTTAGAGGTATGGCCAGTTAATGACCCTCTCTGCCGACAGTGCGTGGAGAGGCCCTCATCCAGCGGCGAATTTACAACCGTGCTCTATGCGCGCGTGTCGTGCATGACTGCACGTTTTCAAGGACAACATCCGGATGGCCGTTCGTAGCAGTGATGCTGGTACGTCGGCAGGTTGTGCAATGGGAACGGGGCATTTCAGCACAACTTTGCTCGTAACGTTAGAGAGTTGATGAATTCGTAATGCGCACGCATATCAGTTGGTGGTGGACTGTGTTACTGCAATGCAGTAATGTGTACGGTGTATGGTAGGTAAGCCTTACATAAAGCACCGGAAGCTTTCGTGACCAACAGTGTCTCTCATTGGTTTTCATTATATTGGAGCCATATATTGTTTTTA